GAAGCCCCAGGAGCCGCCTGCCTCGTGCTGTTTGCCTCCCCCAGCCCTGCCTTTTCCTAACAGCCCCAGAGCCCTCCACGTGGTTTTTCCGGAGCGCTACTGAGCCCGGCCTTTGGCATTCCCTGCGCCCCAGACCCTCCACGTGTGTGTGGGGGGGTGTGTGCCCCAGAGCCTTCCAGGTGCCTCTTGGGGCACTCGAGTCCTCTGAGCACATTCACTGAACCCCAAAGCTCTCCTTTTCCCTTTCCTCGCACCCTGGAGCCCTCCCTGAGTCTTCCAGCATCCCCAATAACTCCGAGTCTTTCAGTGGGCCCAGAGCCCACCAAGCACCTCTCCCTGCTCCACCGCCTGCACTTCTGGGCACCCCAGGACCCTCCTCCTGACTTTTCACATGCCCTGCAGCCCTCCACGTGCCTTTCCCTATGCCCGATCCCTCTGTCCAGCTTTTGGAGCATCTCCTGGGGATGCAGCCCTGCCTCCTGTCTCACGGGGACAAGCAGCGAGGTGGGAGAGCAGGGGAGCTGGGCGGGCTTCCCAAGCCAGCGTGCTCATCGGGGAGAACGGCTCTCGCCGACTATCAGCAAGGCCCACGGGGGAGGAAGGGTCCGTGCCCTCCACCTGCATGCAGGGACAGGAAAGGAAGCGAAGGTTTGGCGATCCCAGCTTTGTGCACAACCCCGAGGAGAAAGAACCGTGTAAGGCAGAAGGCAAGGAGTGGAGTGGGGAGGAGAGGCACGGCTCAGATACAACAAACCTCCCTTGGGAAGCGACCAGCAGTTATTCAGGGGGTGTTGAAGCATGGGAGGCTGGTGCAGCCTTGGTGTCCCAGCAGGCTGGCTCCCTCCCCGCGGCGAGAGGCACGAGGCAGCGAGTGGTACTTTCCTAAAAGTCCTGACCTGCGGGCGCTTCAAGCCACAAGATAACTTTACTGTGCCAGTACTCTGCTGCTTAACCTTGGTGCTTCAACAGCAGCGACTCAAAGGGAGGAGAAGGGTATGTGGGCCGCTAAAACTACAGAATCCTCTTTTCTGCATCCGAGACCAAACACCTCCCAGGGAGCAGAGGGCAGCATTGCTGCTGGGATCCCCCAGCTCCCAGTTTTACATCCACCACAGAGATGCTGGGGCAGGGGCAACAAAGTCCAGTGGCTGCTCACC